TATATATATATATTTGTGCTGTCCTTGTACTAGCAGACTGAAAGTTAGAATGTGGTATACATATAATGCGTGTCATCTCATCGGCTCAAAATGTTGGGCACGAAGCTTCAGCGGTCAAGACCTTCTGCAGCTGCATCCGCCAAGCAGCGTCGCGCTGGTTCTTGCCCATATACGCTTGCAATACCGACTTCACACATGCCAAAAGTGCCTCGCATTCGGACCTGTTGGTCGATCCTCCAGGTCCATGCGTATAACACATACCTACACTCGAACCTTCAAAGTATCCACTCCATGTCCTGCTGGACTTGTGGTATGAGATGTGGACCCCCTTTGGGGGTAAGGCAACCAACCCTTGAGCGTGCAAGCGCCTGTAAGACTCGCGGTGGTGGAAGGATTTGACCCTCACATGCTCATTCTTGATGAATGTCTGGAGATCCTCCTCCTCGCTTGAGTAAGCTAAGACCTCCTCCATATCCAAACCAGGAATTGCCTCTCGCTGGTCTTCAAGATACGAGCTTCGTCCTCATCAGCTTTCCCATCGATTTCATCCGGATGCATACATTCATCACCGCTTTCTTCTTCATGAAGACGCTGTTCCTCAAAAGCCTCCTCGAGGCCCTCGCCGACCGCTTCATTCACAAACTCCGGCAAGTCCGCACCCACATCCGGCTCCCCTTCAAAATCATGAGCCTCCTGGGTTCTCCACAGCCTGCCCTGAGTCGTAGCTCATGAGGATCCATGCTCAAGTTCAGGGTCAGCGTGAACATCTCCTGCTTGAGACGACTTAGATTGGCATTTTTGCGAGGTGGATTGGCCAGACCCATCAACCTTTTGCTGAAGAGCATGCTAACCTCTGATGCATGCTGACACCACTCATCATAGTCCTTCTGAGCCCGTGCTGTCAATTGTTTTCCATCCATTTGGCGCTGGTCGATCTTGTCCATCCAGCGCTGATGCTCTTCCACCCATCTTGCTACTGCCCTCTCCACGGGTGTAGCAATCCATTGGGGCAAGGGCTGTCGACCTGATACATCGTCAGCAGCATCCAGGGGTTGGATAGCCCAAATCAAACACTGTTCTCCCGGCATTGGACATGTCCTCAAATCCTCCAGCTGGGCAAGTTCTGCTTTATCAGAGGTCATGTCTGGTGCCACGACAAGGGAAAGCAGCTCTTGCATAGAGTCCCTAGAGCTCTTGAGGTGCTGCCGCACGAGTTCCACATTCCCTGCGCAGAGAGGGCTGCAAGAATCATGAAGATAACTGCATAGATGCATATATGTGTTATATATACCTATATATATACATAAATACCCGCGGAAAAAACATAGTTACTTATATACATACATGAAACAAATTCAATTTATAGAGATAGAATGCGTGCACCATGAAGAAAGAAGGTACAGCCACATCCAAACATCACAGGGGACCACTGAAACGTTCTTCAAAAGTTCACCGACATAGCGGGCGGGTGTATAGAAAAAACCTCATAGTGTTTGTCCTGAAGAAAAAACAATGTAAATGCAGTTCAACGCCTCCAAATCGATACTTTGCCACGTGTTCTTCCGTGATCATACCCCGGCTTAACCACGCTGTCCACACGAGCTTGCCATTCCTAGGGAAGGAACAACAAGCTGAGCCTGCAACCGTCAACATATTTTTTTGACAGTTAGAATGGCTTACCTTGGTTACCTTGGCCTTCCAGCTGAAAGCAGGACCCTTCCATGGCTGGAAGCAATGCATGTTTTTGAACAAGCCAAGGGTCTCAAATTTGTCCAGAGATTCCAGAGCGTAAGCATCAGCTCTTAATGCGGTCAGAATGGACGACCTTGCTTGGAGGTCCACGCCACGTCCCTATGATATTGGATCTTTCCCCGAATTGTGTTTATATATATATATATGCAACACATATTGTCATACTGCATTCAAAGTGTCGTTTTGATGGGGAGAAAAGCGGTAGGAATGTTGAACAGGAGGTGAACCAGCCTATGCCCATCAGCGCCCAAACAGAAAAAATGACTTACAATACCACCAACCGGCTTTGTTGAAAGACTGCCCTGCACTGAAAGGTTCAATTCATCCAGTCGCTTTCGTAAGAGGATGCTGTTGCTCCAGCCAACAGCCGCGGCACAATAGCTCCGGTTGAGAAGGTGGAGATACTGGTGCCAGCCATCGTTCGGCTGGCCGGCCGCGCCAAATCCTCCTGGAATTTGCATCTGCTCAGAGTCGCCGCACAAGATGTCCTTGGAGTCGCACGAGAAAACTGCGCCCAATTTCACCCCGTGTCCTTTAAATGTGTCCTTAAAAGTCTTTATATAAACATCAACAACTTAAAGCAAAGAATGAAAGAGTACCCAACTATAGACCAGATATAGACTACCTGACTGAAAGATAGAATGCTGTACTGATTTTTATCGGCCTAGAATGCCTACAAGGTACCACCAAATACATCTTGAATGGGAGATACTTCAAGCTGCGCCACCATCTCGCTCCAACAACTGTGGAAAATGACAAAATACTGCTCTAAACGCACCAGGTTTCCTTTATATACAGTATATGTTCAATGTTCCTTAAAAAGCCTGAAGTTCACGAAAAGAAATGAAGTGAAGAAAAAACACAAACATATTGCCTAGTTACATATATATATATATATATAGCTGAGGTGTGTATATATATATATATATCACCCGCTTGCCGGATTTGCGCCCGCTTGCCGTGCTGCCATACGCATTCTAACTTACAGTCCGTGGGTATATATATATATATACATACAGCAAATGCCGCGAGTGAGAGAACATAAGCACCGATGGTTTGCTGATCCGATGGTTTGCTGATCCGATGGTTTGCTGA